CTGAGCTCAAGCAATGATCATTTCTCCCCTAGAATAACAAAGAAATGGTATCTATCCTACCTAATCATTCTTCCTCCCTTCTTGTCCCGTGAAATCAATTTTCCACTCAACAGCCAGAGTCATCTTTTAAAAACAAAAATCAAGTGATGCCACTCCTCTTCTCAAAAATCATTCCATTCTCAACACAGCCACCTCTTGTCACGTTGCTCCAGGCACCCCCAGATCTGCCCCATCTTCCTCATCTTTTTCCAGTCACAGGGCTCTTGCTAGACTAGCCTTTGACTCCTGCCTTTGTAATTATCCTCTCTTCCTGGAACCATCTTCCCACAAAATTCTTGCTTGAGTCACTGTGCTACCCACCCTCCAAGATGTCCCCTCATGGTTTTTGCCTCCTGGTATTCATGCCTTTGTGTAGTGCTCTCTCACAATGAATCTGTCTGACCTGTGTGACCAACAGAATATGACAGAGGTGATGGTGACTGACTTTTGAGGCTGGATGCTAAAAGTTGTCAGTTTCTACTTGGTTCTCTCGAATTGCTCACTCTGGTGGAAGTCAGCCCCTGTGCCATGAAAATACTCAAGCAGACCTTATGCAATGGCCCTTGTAAAGAGGAACCAACTTGCTAGCCATGTGAGTGAGCCACCTTGGAAGTGGGTCTTTTAGCTGCAGTCAAACCATCAGAAACCCTGGCTGTGAGCAATGGGGAGCAACTATAAATACAGATGAATCTTCACTCGCTCACCCGCCACTCACCTCTTGCTGTGCAGCCCAGTTCCTAACAGTCCACAGACCAGTAGCAGTCTGTGGCCCAGGGGCTGGGGACTGCAGTCTTAAAGAGCTTTCAAAGGTGACTATTTTACTCTCTTTTTTATTCCTAATATGTAGACATTTAATGCTTGTATAAATCTGAGAATTATTTCTCTACTAAAGCTACTGAATTCAAAGCCAAAGAAAATTAGTAATGTTTGTTGCCTAAGGCCAAGTAAAATAGCCATATAATAACTTCTCTGTATTATGTTATATAAGCAATATTTAAAACCCCAAGAATTATAGACTTATAAAATCTTTAAGTAGAAAGAAGCCTGAGAAATCACCTAGCTGAAATTCTTCCCAAGGTAATTTCTTCTATAATCTAGACTCCTTCAGGGACAAATGTGTACTTATCTTGGAGCCCCTTCCACTGCTGGAGAGCATGAACAACTCTATAACTCTCATGCACACTCATGGCCCTCTCTGAGTTGTTATACCCTATGCCATGTTGGCTAGGGAAGGTAAATTTTCTATCATGGATGTGCTGGTTTTAGTTATTACAGACATTAAGTCTGTTAACTGGACCAGGGCTGGCATTCAACCAAAGGAAGCTATGTGAGTGACCAAACCCCTTTAAAGTGGCTTGTCCCCGAAGTTTGCCCAATAGGGAAGCTTTGAAAACTTACTCTTAGAGGAGCAAATGCTAGGTACATCCAGCAAAGACAGCTCTGGAGAGCTTAAGTATATCCTAAGCAATAGTGGGCTGTTGTTTCAGTCCTCTAGAACATCACAGTCATGGAAATACTGAGTCAAAGGTGACAGTGAGGCAGCTACAATGGCTCCTACTACTTGACTTCTCTGAATACCCTTATACTAAATACCAATGGAAAAAGACATTTGTGTGTCTCTTCCTTGTAAAAACAGCCTAGCATTCTCATGCTGAGCTAACTGTAATTGTCTTCTATTTCTATGCAGCCATCCAAGTTCTATCCTCTGGAATTCCAGCTACCACATGATGGCCTTTCACATTTTCACGTAGGCCCTAAGTCTTCTGTCCTCCATGGGATGACCCTCCCAGTTCCATCAATGACCCAAATAGTTACTTTTCTATGAACTAGACA